GTTGTGACAACCACTGTAATGAACCCTCCCTCTCGCTCTCTTTCCTCCCTGCCCTCCCATGCAAACACACACACACACACACACACACACACACACACACACACACACACGGGGAGAGAGAGACAGACAGAGAGAGAGAGAGAGAGAGAGAGAGACAGACAGACAGACAACCTGAAGCCCCTGAACCATGTGGCTCTGCATGGAGGTCATTCATGGGTTTCATAGTGACTCTGAAGATGTGCCAACACCGGCTGTAGACAGGCAGCTTCAGTTCCACTCTGTGGGTCCCCACTGGGCTACACCCAACACTGCTTTGTCCAGGGAACTGATCAACATAATTTTGCTGGAAAACAAAAGCTCTGACAGCTATTTAGTTCTAAAAGAACAAAGTCATGGCATTTATCAAACTTTTAACATGTTGTGACAGTATTTATTCACAACTGGTGTATAAAGGCATAAAACGGTGCATGTTGGTGGGATATGATGTCTTGACATATGTGTTCATGTGCAATGTTGAAATCAATTAAATAAATCTGTCTCCTCAAACACTGCTCACTTCTTTTGTGCATGTGTGTTCGTGTGCAGGTATATGTGTGTTGGGCTGCATGCATGGGTGTTCTCATGTACATAGAGAAGAGAAATTGACTTTGGTTGTCACCCCTCAGTCTTCCTTCACCTTATGTTTTTGAGACAAGAGCCACCTGAACCTGCTGTAGCTCTCTGATTGGCTAGATGAGCTATCCACTAAGCCCTGAGGATCCTCCTGTCTCTACCTCTCCAGCGCTGGGGTTACAGGCCTACACCACCATGCTCTGATTTCTATGTAGGTGCTGGGGATCCAAACTCAAGTCTTCATGTTTTCCTGGCACAGCAGTTTTCAATAGCATCATTTATCTTCATGGTGAAAACGTTTCAAATCCTTTCTCCAGGTTTTCGAAATGTATAATCCATTGCTATTACCTATAGTCACCCTACTGTTCAACAGTGGGCCAGAACTTCTCTTTGTGAGAGTTGGTTGTTCTTCTTAACTTGCTTGTTTGTTTGCTTGGGTTTTCTGTTGGGGCTCTTGTTGGTGTTGTTTTTCTTTTTTTTTTCTTTTACACCAGAACTTTTTTTGTGCCTAAGTAATTTCACACCCTCTGATCAACTTCTCCCCATCCGTCCTCTCTTGCACTCTCTCCAGCTTCTGGCAACCACCACTTCACTTTCAGTCCCAGTGAGATTAAGTCTTACCATTCCCCAGATAATGGAGGTCATGCAGTAATTGTCCTTCTGTGCTCTCCTCGCAAAACAGAGCCATCTCCAGTGCCATCTGCTCAGTCACTTTTGAGAGGCGTGCATTCTTTGTGCCTGAGCAGCATGGCTCTTTGTGTATGTCCCATTCTCTCTGCACATACATCACATAATGGTCACAGCTTGTTTTCACCCCTTGGTTATTGTGAATAGCAGTACAATGAACGTGGGAGTTCAGATGGCTCTTTAATGGATGACTTCCATGTCTTTTGGGTATCAACCCATGAGTGAGTTTGGTGAATGATACAGTAATTCAACTTTTTAAACCCCCGTCCTGTTTCTCCTGATGGCTATACGAATTTACCTTCCCACAAAAGGTGCAAGTTCTCCTTTGCCCCACACCCTCACCAGCACTTCCTACCATTATTATTATTATTATTATTATTATTATTATTATTATTATTATTATTATTATTAGCCCTTCTGAGGGTGAAATGAGTATCACTTTGTGTTCTCAACGTGTATTTGGCCCACTACTGAGGTTGAGCATCCTTTCGTAAGCCAGTCGGCCATTGTTCATCTTCCTCTGAGATAACCACACCTACATGGCTCTGATTTGCTAGAGCTGTTTCATGAAGATGCCCTGTCTCTAATGCATGCCTCTTGCTTCTGTTGTGTGTCTGTCTATGGTGAGACAGCTAAGAGCATCATAGTAACTTCTTCGTTTGCATGGACAGTCGGTATACCATCTCCAAACCCCACTGCTTTTGTTTCATCGTCTCTGCTGCAATAAAACACCCTGATCAAAAGCAACCTGGGGGCGGGTATTGGCCTACAATCCCACATTGCAGCCCGTCATTTTTGGGAAGTTAAGGTAGGAACTCAAGTAGCTGTATTGTGTTCTCATCCACAGTAGAGAGAAGAGAATGAATAAACTCCTGCTTTCTTGCTTGCTGGCTTTCACAGGGCCCAGCTGGCCCTGTTCTCTTATCCAATCCAGTTCTCAGGCATGTAGACACACACAGACATGTACATGCATACAAAATTCATGTGAAAAACAGCTGTCTATTTCCTGTCAGTCCAGGGAGGCCACTCTAAACACCAGCAACATAAATTCTCCATAGTGAATTGGAGAATCATAGAATGTGTGATCTATACAATGACACCTGAGCAAGTTCTCTGCCTAGGCAGAAACTCTATCACCAGTGAGTCTGGAAAGGCTCTTTCTTCTCCAAAGAACATCTGAGAGACAAGCCCTTGGCCAGGAGCTAGTTAGGAGCCAGCCTGACTCCATCCTCAGGCTTCTTCCCTCTAAAGTCTTTCTTTCCTTCCTCTTTTAAGGAATGATCTGGAAGGGTGATTTCCCCAGTTCCTCTCTCCATTGTGTAGACCCTAAGTGTCTGAATGCTTGTGCCAGCAAATGAGACGTAACAAGAACTGACCACAGAAGAGCTGTCAAACCCGGGGGTGGGGACGAAGCACTACTTTTATAGAAGAGAAGGAAATAAAAACTCAGCTGCCCAAAGGAGCTTCTGCCAGCTTCTGGTACCCACAGAGACCCTCCCTGCACCTCTGTACCCAGATTGTTCCTCCAGTCTCTACCAGAAGCCATCCTGTACTTCAGTCCTTGTGGGTGGCAGTCTATTTCCCTGACCTCAGTGTGCGCAGGGCAATTCCTGTCGGTTCTTGTCCAGTGGGGATTTTGCTTCAATCCTAGAAGTCACTTTACTGGCAGCTAGGACAGCGAGGTGGCCTTCCAAACAATAGTCTACTATCAACAACACCTTGTCCACAGGGTTCTGGCACTCTTTCAACCCCCACCATTCCCTTATGAAGAAGTTACCAGATCTGCTGTTAGGATAAGGGTGGCAATGGCTCTGGCTGCTTCTGCTAGAAAGATGCAAGGTTTAGGGACAGGAGACAGGGCTTTTCCAGACATCCCCAGTACCCTTTCAACCTTGAACTATTCTAGGCAATAAGAAACAGATTTTTAAGAAGCTCAATAAACAGAGTTCAAATAATAGGGCCAAGAAGATTATTACTAAAGAGTATTTATAAAAGGCCTATGAGGGGAGGCAAACAGGACACTCAAAGCCACGTCTTGAAGCATGAACCCCGCGGTTCTGCTGGTTGTTAGTCGAACTAGGAAGCACACTCTGTCAATTGTCACACTATGTCCTCGACAATTTCTGGTTGATTTGCACAGACAATTCTCTTCTGTGGGAATTGTTTCTCTGAGAGACACTGTATGAAGCTTCCCTTGACAAACCTAACATCCACCCAGCCGGTAACCCAACAAGTGTGCCTTGAGACCAAGTAACTCATCCTTCTTCCATCCCGTAAATCCAGTCCACTCAGAGTCAACTGACCTATGAGAGAGCACTGTGATAACCTGGCTACACTTTGTGTTGCCAATGCAAGTAATTCCCGCAAATTTAGCTGAATGCACACCCTCGATTGTGCCTTGTTCCCCACTTCTCCTTTGTAAGTCTTTCATGCCTCTGGCTCAGAACAATGTATGTGTGTGAGAGACGTGGTGACCAGATCTAAGAACATTGGTTGAAAGCAGCAACAAAGCATTGAAACTTTGCCCCCACCCCCTGCCACACACACACACACACAATATGTTGGAAGCCACATACACATTGATACCCGATTGTGGCTTTGTGTGCTTTTCTCAGTCAGCAGGACTAGAGAAACAACTTTCTCCCCTGTGAGATTTCTGTAAAAGATCGGGTAAGACGAGTTCCTCATTCCTTTGTGTTACCGTATTTGCTGCTAGGCAGTTCAATAAAGAGGATGGTTTTTGTTCGGGATAACTCAGATTACAACTAGATGAGAACAGCAGAGATCAAAACTCTTCAGAAATCAGGCCCACTGTTAGGTAAATGACACAAGCATTAGTTTTTCTTCCTTTATGCACCCTGGCCACTCTTCTAGGAGGAAGCATTGTCCCCACCTCAGCAATGTGTTGCCTGTAAGAAATCACCCAGTGAATATTTCATAACAAGGTCTTAGAGCACAGTCTGTGGTTTCAGAGTTAGAAGAACCCTCTTCGCTAAAACTGCTCACATAAATCAGAGACCCAAATCCCCTTTCCAATCATTTTGTACTTTAGCTATCCTCTCATGCTGAGTGTTTAAGACAATAGAGGTAGTCAAGAATGAACTGTTTTGCTACTAAAACCAACAAAAAAAATCTAATAAGAGTTACGTTCAGGGACCTGGAAGGTATTGTTTCTTTCCTGCATACACCATCTGCTGGAGTGGATTAGGGTCTTCTATGTGTCTTCCTTTGGGAGCACAGGGAACGTTCTTCTAGTCCCCTTCCATTCCACAGGGTTCCAATTGCCAAAGACTCTATCTGGCCTTGTAGTGCAACCCTATTCTTACAATCTGGTCCAGGCTACCAGGGAGACTCCTAAACAAGTTCTGATGTTGGGAAAGGGGTGTCAAGTCCTCCCATATCAGTGCCCAATCCCAGTGCCACAAGAATGATATCCTCCTTGGTCCTGATGTCTGCTGCAAAGGAGCAGTCGAATGTGGGTTCCTGATGACTGCTGATGGAGAGAGAATTCATCTTCCCCAGAGATGAGCCTTCTAGATATTTACCCAAGATAAAGTACCGAGTGTTTGGCCCTAAAAACATACATACAAGCAACAATAAACAGACTCAGAAGGTTGTGCTGGTGCATTTATGCACATGTGTGTGTGTGCAACAATAATAACTGAAGAAAAGGAGGTCATAAATCTGAGAGAGAATGGGGAATGATGGGAGGGGTTCTAGGGAAAAGACAGACTTAAATTTTTACCTTAAGACTTTTTAATAAAAGTGGGTTATTAAGAGTTATGTCAATTTTAAAGAATGGATAAGAAGAAAATACTCAACATCTCCAAATGAAATAAAGCCATCATTCTGTCATAAAAGTCAATTCTGTGCTTTCTAGGATCAAAATAACAGTGGCCACAGCTACTTCTCATAGGCAGGCTGTTCATCTTTTGGTCCCCAAGTTCTTTCTTTACCCTGCAGGCAGCTGGACAGGCCCTCCTGGCCCAAGTTAGACACCTCAAGGGCCAGCAAACACATGGACATCCATAGCAACATCAGAGCCCAAGCTTGGGGCTCTGGTCTGTTCCTTAACATCTTTAAGACCAGTTGTCCCTCTGAATCAAGTGAAAAAGAAGTTTTAATTAGAGGCCCCTTCAGTCATCTGAAGAAGTCAAAGAACTATTGCTCAAAGTTCTGCTCTATCCCGTGTTGTCTGTAAGAAATCACCCAGTGAATATTTCATAACAAGGTCTTAGAGCACAGTCTGTGGTTTCAGAGTTAGGAGAACCCTCTTTGCTAAAACTGCTCACATAAATCAGAGACCCAAATCCCCTCTCCAATCATTTTATACTTTAGCTATCCTCTTATGCTGAGTGTTTAAGACAATAGAGGTAGTCAAGAATGAACTGTTTTGCTACTAAAACCAACAAAAAAAACTAATAAGAGTTACATTCAGGGACCTGGAAGCTATTGCTTCTTTCCTGCATATACTGTCTGCTGGAGTGGATTAGGGTCTTTATATGACTTCCTTTGGGAGCATAGGGAACGTTCTTCTTCCTTGACTTTCCTCTCTGCAGGATGCACCCTGGTTGGTTGGAGTCTAGTCTTGGGGTTCTTCGTGGCCTCTCTGATCAAAAGGATGGCTGATTTATGGATCTTTCAATAGGATCCCTTTGGCCCTGATTTCTAATTGATCTTGAAGGGCAAGAACCAACTATTTATTGCCTGTCATTTTAGTCCTTCTGTCTTCCTAGGCCTCCAGACTTTGCTAGCCAAATACCCAAAAAGGCAGCCTTTTAGTTTTAACTTTTGTGCAACATTTAAACAAAGCCAGGACAAAAAAAAAAATTGATTTCGTTAAGGTTCCGTTTCGTAAGCAGTTAAAAGATTGTGCATGAGGGGACCCTATCTCTTAGTTAGAAGGGAAGGTTGGGGAAAACATATTAATCTCCTAGAGAAGTTGACAGTAGAGGCACCAGAGAGATGTGTTCCGCATTGTTCTATCCAGGGGAAAGTGCCTTCATATAGAATCCCTTCTAGAATCACTGAAAAAGTCATTGACCAATTGATGGCACCCTGAGGAAACATCACTGAGCTCCAACTCCAATGCACCCATAGGCTCTGTCATCTGCTCACTGCTGCACAATAGTGCCCAGGGGAACTACAACACTCATCTCAAATGCATTTCCACAGAAAATATCAAACGGTGCCCTGAGCGTCACCAAATTCAAGTCAGCAAATTCCACCCAAGTCTATTATAAAAAAAAAAAAAAATCAACCAACACTTTAGATATGTGAAAAACTGAAGAAGAGCAACAAAAAATGTTGTAACCTCTTGGGAGTTTTTAGTTTGCCAGTTCTTGTTAGGGTTCCAGAACAAGTGGGGCAATCGACAATTCTGGTCCCTAACAAAGGCATGTGACAACCAGCAATCAAGAGGCCCACATGGCAAAGTCCTTGGTCAGGTGCCATTTGAAAAACAGGCAGAAGAAAACAAAATACAGCTCTCTGCCCTGAACACTCAGCAGGTAGTCAGGCCAAGGTTGGTCAGGATACCTTCTAGTAACACCCTGGTGTCCTTCCTGCTGGAAAACTTCAGTTTCTTCAGAAACTCACCTCGGCCCTTCATGGTGGACAGCAGATTTCCATGAAAGGAAACAAGACCTACATTCCTCGCAGGGAGATGGGCGGGCTCACCTCAGCAAGCCTGACCTCTGACCCTGTAGACCAGCAGCTGTGCTAATCACTCTGAAGTGATTTAAAGAGTCCGAGTTTTTGCGCTAAAGAACTACAGCGGAGTACAGACGCCCCCAACAGCAGGAGCATGGCCAAGTCCACCCCTCTTAGCGTCCCCAGAACGTCCTGTTGATTGCAATGATTCCTGTTGACTTTCCACAGGTTCCCCCATTTAATGTGTGTCGAATGCCCGCCTACACCAGTAGAGATGGCTAATTCTCCAGCCTCCGACTCTTGACTTGTTTATCCTCCAAAATTAAAGCCAATGGACAGCAAAGGGGAAGCTAGGAAACTTTTTTTTTTTTTTTGCCACGTTGGAACAATTCAGAGGGAAATTAAAAACTCAGGTAGAAAAGCAGATGCTCTGAGCTTCTTGTGGGGCAGCAGGATTCCAAAAGAGATTTGAAGTGAGTGCAACAGCTCTATGCTCTCAATAAGTTTCAGGTGCCTAGGCCGGAAGTTACAAATGTTATAGCCCTGAGCTCTCAGCAGGCTTCAGGGTGACAGCCAAAAGTCTGTTGGCAAGTATTACAGTTTGAAAGCTCTGGGGGGGGGCCTTTGGGGTGCTAGCCGACATCCATCCCTGGCAGAGCAGTTCTGCACAGTGGTTGCTGACGGGGTAACAGGAGAGGCGCTTCTCCTGTCTCTGGCAGGTCTAAAAGGCTGGAGCTGCAGGTTTCCACAGGTCTGGAGCTGTGTATCATGGAGGTTGATAAATTCCCTTCTGCAGTCAAAATGTGGAGCCTTGGGGGCCGAGGGAGGAATGAGTCTCCCAACCTCCAGCTGCAGGTAGAGTCCTAGAAACGGATCTGATCAAGTTCCCTGCCTGGGGCAGAAGCCCACAGTCTGGCCAATTTATCTCCTCTCCCGCAATCATTAGAGGCAGGCTTCTTCTCTGGAGAATGTCTAGGAGCCAAGTTTCTGGCCAGGTGTGGAGCCAGATGGGAGCAGGATTCCATCTTCAGGTTCCTGCATAGAGGAGGAGCATCTGGGGGCCGGGACACAGGTCAGAACCAGGGGAGTTCAGGAAGCCAGAATCCAGCCTGGCTGAGCACCTGGCTCCAAAGCCTTCCTCCTCTCTCGCCTCCAAGGAACAATCTGTGAAGGCTGGTTTTCCAGATTTCTCCTCTATCACCCTGACCAGGTGCCCCCCAAGTGACCAAATGTGTGTGCAAGAGAATTATAAAACATAGTAGGGCCAATTGGGAAAGAGCTGTCAAACCTAAGAGTTTGGAGAAGAACCCTGGGTCCAGCAAAAGTTCCCAATCAAGTCTCATGGTCCGTTTCCTGCCATTGCTCTTCCTGTGAGGGTGTGTACAGTTAGGGCTGATTGATTTGCTTATTTGGTACATGTGGGGGGAGGGTAATTTTTTATAATTTCCGTATTTACATTTTCCCACCCCTCCTCCCTCTCTCTTTCCAACTCTGGCCACAATTCTTCACAAACTCCCCACCTCCTCTTTTTTTTAATTATTGATACACACCGTGGCAGTTGAAATGAAAATGACCCCATAGGCGGTCATTTGGGAGGTCTTGTTAGAGTTGGGGTGGCTTTGCTGGAGGAAGTATGTCACTAGAGAGTGGCTTTGTGGTCTCAGAAGCTAAAGCCTGGCCAGTGCGTAACAGTCTCTTCCTGCTGCCTGCATATGCAGATGTAGACCACTCAGCTACCCCTCCAGCATCGTCGTATCTGCCTGCCATGCTTCCAACGTGAGGAACTGAACTGTAAGAGCCAATAAATGTTTTCCTTTACAAGAGATGCTGTGGTCATGGTGTCTCTACACAGCAATAAAGGGCTAACTAAGACATTCACACACACTAGTTAAATGATAGATAGATAGATAGATAGATAGATAGATAGATAGATAGATAGATAGATCACATATATTTATAAAAATTCTAATAAGTCCATTTAGGGTTGCTTAACTGTTCATGTTTTTAGGGTTGACTCCTTCTGATTGGATAATATCAGGGAGCTCATCCCTGGAGAAAAACCAATATCCCTTGTATCAGAAACCATTGACTGCCTATAGGTCTTCATTTGGGGAGAGTCTTATGGAATTTCCCCATCCATCACAGCATGAATGTCAACCGGTGCTATTCGTACACAGGTCTTATTTTGGCAAACATATTGTTGATATTTCACGGGTGCAGCTTACTTGCCTTGTCTAGAAAACACTATCTAGCAGCAGGCATCTTGGTCCTCTGACTCTTACAATACTTTCTCCTCTTTCACCATTGCCCCTGAGCTTTAGGTGTAGGGGTTTCATTGGGCACCGCACACTGGTTTATTCTTTGCATTTTGACTAGCTGTGGATCTCTGTAACAGTCTCCATGTGCTTCAAAGGGAAGCATCTTTGATGAGAGGTGAAAGCTATACAATCTGTGGATATAAGGGAAAGTATTTAGAACATAGCTAGAAGATACAGCATTTAGAAAAACAGCAGTAGAAGGTTCTCTTCTGGATTTGTGACCTCACTAGCCCACTGGTTAGAGACTACATTTGCAGTACCAGGCATGAATTCCCTTCAGTTAAACAGGGTCGAAGTCCAGTAAGACACATCCAGGATGTTTTCTTTTTTTCACATCTTTCCCAGACTGACTGCTGATAGTGAGCTGTGAATCTGCAGGCCACCATAAGGGGCCCCTCGCCCTTGGGGTTCTGGGGCCATTTCTACCTTCATCATAGTTGTGCCTGTTTCCTTATGATAAACTCCCAGGAGAGGGGTACCTAGTAAAGAGAGTGTGTGTTTGTCTACTATATGGTCTCTAGCACATATGGACAGTCCATTCCTTTTTAACTACACACACACATATGTACAATCATAAGATCCTGGCTACAATACAGCCTCCTGTGAGCTCAGTACATCATTACAAAAGAAGTTCAAGTGAGGTCATTTGGGAAGTGTTGAAATGGTGGAAATTCCATGGCTATAACAAAAGCAAAAGAGAAGAAAATAGAGGGAAGGGTTGAGTATAAAGGCACCCAGCTGGTACAGGCGCACAGCCAGCAGCAGCTCCTCCTGCAGTTCTCTCCTGAGCCAGAGCTCCCCCTCCAGAACGACATGATGCTCAAGGTATTGTTCCATGGCTGTAGCTTGCCTAGACTGCTTTCCTGGTTTGGTTCTTCCTCTCTCAATCAACTGGTCTTTACAGAGTTATCCACTCTGCTGCAGAAATGGCATTTTGACTTTCCTCAAAGTCTGGGCAACCTAATAAGCTGTATGTTAGTTCTCGTCTGTGTTTACGAATGAGAGACACGATCCCATTGCTTACTCCTAGCAAGGAAGTATGTGGTGGTAAGCTCACTGAATCTCAAGCTCTTGGTTTTATACGTGCCTTCTGTGTGATCCAAATAGATGGCCTCTCCAATTATCTGTCGGCTGTCGCATTCTCCTGGTCTCTGGGTAAGCTTGCTGAGTCAGAAGCCTCACTCGCCGGATTGGCAGTTTAGAGAGGAAGGCATCATGAGTTCACAAGAGCTCCTGGCACTGCTATTAACTGACCCCATGCTCTATTCTAATCTATAGGTTAGTCACAGCACTTCACTGAAAAGAAGTGCAAATGCCACTTTAAAGTCAAGCAAGCAGAGATGAAGTGTGACTCAGAGATCTGAGCAGCAGTGATCATTCCCCTGACGCTCTCACCCTTCAAGGTCAGGGAGGGTGGGTTGTTCTTTAGCTCACTGAGCACATCAGCACCATCAGGGGAGCCCACTGGTCTCAGGGTCGTAAGTGACATGAGCATGCTGTAGAACCCACACCTCTGCTGGTGCCCCTCACCTGCTGTTCAGCCATCCAGTGTTCAAGTGGTACTTGGAAATTAAGTCAGCAGAGTATTGAGTCAGTTGTTTTCCCTCTTCCTCCTCTCTTCTACATGGAAAAGATTTAGCAGAATGTTTACCAGTGTGAAAAGCAGGATTATGGTTTTCCTCTGCCCTAAGCAGGAACATCCATTGCAGCATCCTTTGCTCACCCAGCCATCCCCTCTCCTGCTTTATCCTACTCCAAGCTCCCTTCGTTTTCTGTCAAGGCCTTAAAGATGCTACAAATGCTCCATTCTTTTGAAAATGACTGCTTTCATCTGACTGGTAAATCTGAAGACTCTGAGAATGGGGTTAGGGCTGAAGCAGGAGGATTGTCAAAAGTTCAAGGCCAACCTGAGCTAGATAGTGAGTCCAGACTAGCTGCATAGAAAGAGCCTGCCTCAGAAAAAAAATAAAATAATGTAAAATAAAGTAAAACTAGTAAATAGAATAGCAAAAGCGGAAGATTTCCATGTAGGCACCGGTTCTGTTTCGGTGACTCTACTTTGACAGCGCGCCAGTAGAGAGACCGTAAACACTTTGGACTCCTTAATCTGATAAGTCCTCTAGCTACCATTTGTAATCAGTGAATGTTACGGTCAGAGACAGAAAGGAAGTTAGGCAACAGTGTGTTCTTCAGATGAGGAAGGGGAAAGTACTGGACAGTTTATTGCAAGAACTCCATGTTCGGCGTGCGGTGACATACCCTTCCAGCTGGAGATTCTGAGCTGTCTTCTGTGAGGGCATGTCGAAACACAGGTGTGACTTGTGCGTTGAAGGGTTTGACTGGAAAGGACTTGCAAAGTCCTCTACCCACCACTTAAGAAACAGATCATCCTGCCCTGGAGACTGTATCTGGTTTATGTGCAGAGGGAGACTTCCTTCCACATCCAGTGACCACAGAGCACAACGTCCTTCCACCGTCCCGCTCTGTCTAGGCTTCGCTTCATTGTCTTCCATCATCCTCTGTCATCGTCATCAGCTAAGCAGCCTGCGTTATCAGTGTGACTGGGCAAAGACCTTAATTATTGCATATTTCCACATCCTCGTGCCTCACGAATAAATGTCTAGTACACACCACTTTTCACAAAACAAACTCAATCACATCAACCAGGCCTCTTCTCCCAGAGCAAAACCTGACCTCAAGGTCTCTTTACAAAAGGAGTGAGTGGATTCAGAGTGGAGCGGAGTGTTGTTCTAACCTTCTTCTCTTTGAAGTCTGTCACAGAGAGCTTAGCCAGCCTGATTCACGGCTTGAAGGTGGACCACCTGACGGATGGTGTCATTCGGAGGAGCAAGAGGATGATTCTGGATTCTCTGGGTGTTGGTTTCCTGGGAACAGGCACAGAAGTGTTCCACAAAGTCACGCAATATAGTAAAGTAAGCAGTCCAAAGTTTTCTTTCAAGATGAAAAACAAGCATGTGCACAAGCATACTCCAGAGGTCTCTGCCTGTGTTCAGCTCACCCCACCCTTAGTCTGATTGCATTTGACATGTATAGCATTGTTCTGTGCATTTTTATGAGTCCCTCTGCTTCGTCCTATGATTTTTGAAGTCTGTTCCTACCCATTACTAATTCAGGCCCAGCACCACTCACTGGTCATGTCTCATAACTGTTTATTTGTATGACTAAAAATACTTTTCAACCCCAAAATCTTAGAAAACACTTAGCCATGGACAGCTTCTTCATGCAACTATTCTCCAGAGAAAAGTCTGTTCAAGTGCTCTGAGCAGAAAGCAGGTACCTCAGCGGGAAGCAGAGCAGCCACTCTCAATAGGGCTGACTTGCTGTAGACAGCTAATCTGCCCCCATCGCATCTCCCACCCCCAGTATCTACCCCAAGGCCAAGTAAGAGCAGATCCAGCCTCACCTGACTGGAGCTTCTAGACTGTGACTTGGGACTAAGCAGATTCATCTCATCTCCCTTACAAGCTAGGCTGCCCTCTTAAGGGTTCGGTGCAGCCTGATGCCAGGATGCCTCAAGGATGAAGGATAACTCTTGAGACGTCAACTCTGTATTGTTGCCTTAACTCCTTTGCTTCCGTTCCAGATGTACAGTTCCAATACCTCCAGCACCGTTTGGGGTCGACCAGACTTCAGGCTCCCACCCACATATGCTGCTTTTGTGAACGGCGTCGCTGTAAGGATGTTCACAAGCCTTTTCTATAATTAGACCATTGTAGCTTCAGAGGCAGGAATATTATTTACAATAATTTGAGGTTCAGAGATATTTGAGGCACAGCAATCTGGCATGCCCTGTCCTTTCTCCTCATGTTCATGTTTCCACAATAAAATGGAACTTTTCCAACAAATTAAAAATTAGAAAAAGTAGAAGGATCTAGATTTTAAAATACCAATAAGGTATTCTAATTCTGGACTTTGAATGGATATAGCAAAAATACATGATTCTATGCAATCCAGGATCCAGACATAATGCCTTCTTGATGCTTCTGTTGTGGGCCCCAGTATCTTTCTGTACAGTAATGTTCTCTTCACTTAGTCATTTGAGTATTTATTCAGGAAAAAAAAAAAAACAATGACCATACAGTGTCTCTATTTTCTCAATGAAAATTTAGAACCTCTCATCTAACATATAATTTTCATGCTATTTTCTGTGTGTCAGAGAAAGCCTACAAGATGTAATGAAGATATAAACATGTTGGTATTCAAGAGATATACTAACTAATTTGTGGGAACAGCAGTTCAGAGTAACAGAACGAAACCCACTGGCTTGGCAATAAGAAACACCTGCCACATCAGATAGACATAAATATCTAAGTGTAAATGAACTTCTGGTTAGTATTGACTGTTTCAGATATGGAAAAAATAAATAACTAGAATGAAAAGGGAAAAAAAACTTACGGCATAAAACAACCATTTGAAAATACAGCTTAACAGCTAATGTAGGTTTGAGAGCTCTTTGCTGTTCTTGCAACTCTGATAAAACTTTTAAATTACTTCATGACAGAGACATAAAAATATATGGCCCAATGTATAATAAATGATACGAAATTTTTAGTGTGACTTGTTTAAAGGGTGAATGGAGAAGGCCAGAGCATCTTTGTGAGGGAGGATGTAGATCTCGCCAGAGCTGTGGTTTCCAGGGCAGGACTCAGTATCCTCCAGGAAGTCACTGGCTCCTGTCCATGGCCCTGTCTTCCTCTGTCTTCCCACAGTGAGGTTAGGAATCACAGTGAGTTAGTTACCACTGGGCAGGGTAACTAACCCTTTACCCAGAGAGACTCCATTGGGAAAAACTAATTTTCCCTTTGCAAACAATGTCAAATGGTGTATCTTGTTTTACTTCTCTTTTTTAAATTCTAGTTGGTTAGGGTTTTGCGGTTTTTTTTTTATTTGCCTGTTTGTTTGCTAAGAGAGAGGGAGAAAGGGCATGGAGTTGGGTGGGTTGGGAAGTGGGGAGGACCTGGGAGGAGTTGGGAGAGGGGAAACCATGATCAAAATGTATTGTATGAATTTTTTCACTAAAAAATAATTATTTTTTTTTAAAAAATCACAGTCAGTTTGTGGGGTGTAATTTCAGATAATGGAGCCCCAAACCTCTCAAGGTCATTGCTAAATTAAACGCCAGAGCATTTAAGGGCATTTCTGAGGGGGTTTGTTTGTATCTGTTCATACAGGTTCACTCCATGGATTTTGATGACACATGGCACCCAGCCACCCACCCTTCCGGGGCAGTCCTGCCAGTCCTCACAGCTCTATCAGAAGCCCTGCCTCAGACTCCAAAATTTTCTGGCCTTGACCTGCTGCTGGCATTCAATGTTGGTGTTGAAGTACAAGGACGATTAATGCACTTCTCCAAGGAAGCCAAGGACATCCCAAAGAGGTATAGAGACAGTGCCCATCAAGGAGAGCCACACTGCCCTCTGTCTGTCAGTGACTGTGTAGAGCTGCCTGACTTAAAGGCTGGCTCTGTGACTCTTATCACCACTCCGAGAGAGACCATTTTCAGACATATAGCATGCACTATGTCTATACAGAAAGATATGATTCGTAAATGATTGTGAAAACTTCCCCTGGGCTTGTAAAACCAAGCTAGCTACTAAGACCATGGGATAACTTAAAGGTCTGCCACTCCAAGGTGAGAGAGGGTTTCCTGGTCAGTCTGAGGTTGGTTTCTCTGTGTTCTGCATCCAAACTGAGGGATGTCTTCAGCAATAGGATCTTACAATATGGTGACAATTGGCAATCAAGAGCAATAGCAGTAGCTTGCATTGTTTTGGGTCCCTTCGTGTTATTAAGTGAAAACCTCAGTGACAAGCAAGGGATACCTCCCTATGAGTTGTTGGTCAGAGGATCCACATATGAAAGATAATATTCAGTATTTAGCTTTCTGGGTCTGGGCTACCTCACTCAATTTAATATTCTCTACTTCCATCCATTTACCTACAGATTTCATGATTTTGTTTCTCTTTACAGCTGAGTAATACTCCATTTTCTATATGTACCACATTTTCCTTATCCAACCACCATCAGGTGAATTTCTTGCTTTGCCTTTCAGGTTCCATCCTCCCTCTGTGGTGGGGACTTTGGGAAGTGCCGCTGCCGCATCCAAATATTTAGGACTCAGCTTGACAAAGTGTCGAGAGGCCCTAGCTATTGCTGTTTCTCATGCTGGGGCACCCATAGCAAATGCTGCCACTCAGACCAAGCCCCTTCACATCGGTAATGCAGCCAAGCATGGGATGGAAGCCACATTTCTAGCGATGCTGGGTCTCCAAGGAAACAAGCGCATCTTTGACCTGGGGTCAGGGTTTGGGGCCTTCTATACCAACTACTCCCCCAAAGACCTTCCAAGCCTGGATTCTCACATCTGGCTGCTGGATGAGCAGGACGTGGCCTTCAAGAGCTTCCCAGCACATTTGGCTACGCACTGGGTGGCAGACGCAGCTGCAGCTGTGAGAAAGCACCTGGTTATTCCGGAAGGAGTCCTGCTTCCTACTGACCACATCGAGAGGATTGTGCTCAGGATCCCCGATGTCCAGTATGTAAACAGGCCCTTCCCAGACTCAGAGCATGAAGCTCGCCATTCCTTCCAGTACGTGGCCTGTGCCATGCTGCTCGATGGTAGCGTCATGGTTCCGTCCTTCTGCAGTGAGCAGATCAACAGGCCACAGGTGAGAGAGTTGCTCCAAAAAGTGGTTTTGGAACACCCTTCTGACAACCTGCCAAGCTTTAACACACTGTACTGTGAGATAAGCGTCACCCTGAAGGACGGAACCACCTTCACCGAGCGCTCCGATACCTTCTACGGTCACTGGAGGAAACCACTGAGCCAAGAGGACCTGCAGAAGAAGTTTCGAGACAATGCCTCCAGGATGCTGTCCAAGGACACGGTGGAGAGCCTTATAAAGGTGGTAGAAAGCCTCGAGGACCTGGACGACTGTTCCGTGTTGACCTCGCTTCTCAAAGGACCCTCTGTCCAAGAGGAGGACTCAAAACTATCCCACATGTTTTCCTTCCCTCACACAATGTCTAGGCTTACCAATGTCTGAACAGCTTTGCACCAGAGGAGATTCCGTTGTTTGCTCTGCTGCTCCATCCGCCCAGCAATGAACAGAGCAGAGTAGAGATACGAACAGAGATATGTGTCTTTGGAAGGAGTCTTGAGAGACCATTTCCACTACCTTCCAGATAACATTCAAGAAACAAACAACACAAGATCGTATGTGTATTCACAAGGGTAAAGTCTGAGTCCCCTGCCATCTGCTTATTATTTCTCCTGAGTAATTATCTGTTAACTCTGGGAACTTTCCAGATGTGGAGGGAATTGAACTGGCATGCTGCTGGCTGCAGGTGGAGCAAGCTCTCTGGTCTGGGCCACCGCCTGCCCAGAGGATAGATACTGCCAAACCTTTCCTGTGATGACTGGTTTGAGTGATCAGCAGGTCTAATATTGCCTCTTTTTCTTTCCACGTGCAGTCCTGAGTTTGTAAGCCAAGAATTCCTCTGCTTCAACCCTCTACTAAAGAGATAAAGACAGTCTGATATGGGGCAGGGAAGTAGTCTGACTTAGGACCCCCAGTTTCACTCTGTTAGCTCCGAACATTATTTTGAGAAAATTTGACAGGAAAAAGTCAGAGATACAATAAAAATGAAAAGGGGAAAGACGTTGATGTGTGAGTAATGAAAATATTAACTATACAACATAGAGATGCCACATTAGCAATCATGGTGAGTGTGCTCTGAATTCCAGGTGTTCAAAGAAAGAATGGGGCTCTTAGCTTCAGATTTTGACTTGCAAGCATCTATGTGGAAATGTGTTAGGTAGCTGAGAACTTCAGCAGAATACATCATTCCCCAGTTCATAGGAGGAGAAAAACATAATTGGAAAAAATGAGACTCATTTCCCTCCTGTTTGCGCTTATACTTAACATGGTCTCCTTTCTACCCACTTTTCCACAAAAGCTCAGTTATCACGGGGAGTGGGCAGTGGGCCAAATGTTGGCTACAGCCAATGAGACAAAACTGGCGGAGAAAAATAAAAGATGTGGGGGAACTGCAGCAGGTCCACCTTACCCCTCACCTTCAGAATCCAACGGCCATGTCACAATCCAGCCTCCCTAGCTGCATCATCAGCACCATCCTAGCTCCTGGCTCCTCAATGCCACGCTCGCTTGCAAGCCCCAGAAGCCACTAGGTAGGAGCTGGGCTGCAGCAGAGCAACATCCCAATCCACTTCTGACAGCTGCCTCTGCAGCTGTGCCGGGGCTCGCCCCCTCGCAGTGGCTGGGCCTGCAGGGCAGAACCTCTGCCTAGCTACAGACAGCAAAGCTCTCTGAGTTCCCCCTTCTGTTTAAGAAGTGTCAGGTAAGCCCAGCAGAACCTATAGAGCCTGCCATTTTCTCTTCTGATGATAGAGGGCGCCAGAGAACCATAAACTAGTTTTCAATAACGGCATGGGTTGGGAAGGATAATCATTAAAAGAAACAGCAAAGGAAATAAATGGATTCTCTTCTTTGTAGGACTAGTAGATGGTAACTTCCACGAAACTTATTTCCAAAAAGATGTCAATATTGATATACGATAATTTTCTACAATAAAATTTTGAACTGCTCAAGTTCCAAAGCTGTAACTTGAAATATTTTTAACAAAGAATACTGAGTAGGCAGCTCTGTTTCATCCACACCAGAACAGGAGGGCAAAGAATGTCTTGGGATTCTTGTAACCTTCTGTCGTGATATAGCCCAGACTGTCACTAAGGGTTGTGAGAAAGTCGTGTTGACCAGGATAGAAGCTGAGCTCCATATCTGTACGCTGTCTCGCAGTGCAGAAATTCCAGATTCCTTATACATAGCCTCATTTTCTCATATGACGACAGGAAAGAAATAATAACAAATGGATTTACGTTGCATTTTGTTTTGCTTGTCTAGAACAAGCTGTGTTTCTTCTATACACAAGATATCTGAAAGAAATTTGATCTTTTATTATTAAAGAATAAGATCTGAAATCTCCAGGAACACCTGCTTCTATTACTGGATCATTAAATTATTAGCCCCGTCTTCCAGTGCATATTCGCAGTGATCTTACGTTTCCAGTGTTTAGTAACACCCTGAATCTACATCCAAGCGGACGTCTAACTGAGAGGAATGCGGTACACCTGGAAGACTACTGCCTCTGGCCTTTGGCCTAGCGGGATGCTTACAGGGCCGAACACTATGTCAGAGGTCCAGATTAGAAAAGAGATGCCCACGTGACAACCTTAGCAAGCAGAAGGAAGAGCTTGTGTCAATGAACATTGTTAGTAAAAGCAGGATAAAAATTCTGAGTTAAGGAAATGCATCTGGTCAGTTTCTGAGCATTGGATGTAAGGTCTGTCTCCATCTCTGCCGGATGATGTCATACTCAGAATGTGCTCATGTCTCCCAGCCAGCGTTCCCTGGGTTGGTCGCAGGGTACGACTGTATAGTAAATATTATCTCTGTCAAAACCTTGTCACTAACAGACTTCAGTGAATGGTTTGTGCTCGTCATTTTCTTTGATATGGGTAGTTAAGATGGGGTGCTGCTTAGTGGTAAATCTCTTAAGTTCAGGAAAGCTGTGTGGTGGACTTTCAGAACCAGTATGTGTATTGAAACCCAATTTTAAGTAAAATTTAATAGATTATACCAGTGAATTTTGTCTGAAGATATATCTACAAATTTGACTTAAAATCTAGTTGGCTTTCATTACTGAATCATAACCAGGACAGCATTCCATCCGAAATAGATTTAATGGCATGGCACAAAGATTAGCTTTTGTAAGGTAACTTGGGTAAAAGAAAACAGAAATCCCAAAAGTGGGTTGGGTAACATCAGGTTACTTCGTAAGAGTTCAAGCAGAGGATGTAGTGATTACTATGTTGCTATGACAATATAACTAACAAAATCAGCTAAGGAAGGAGGTTTAGGGTGACTCAGGTTTGAGGTTATCATCCCTGATGGTGTTGTGCCCAGTAGGTAGGGACCCCAAAAGACCACCAGGGTGAATGACTCACCAAAATGCAAAAGCAAGGTTTAATTATGTGAGAATTACAAGCTAGCAGGGACCTGTCAGTGCAGCAGTAGCAAGAGAAGGTATTCTGCCCTTCTAGAGGGCATCATTTTAAGGCAAAAGCCAGGAAAGTTACATTAGCAGGGTGTGGGGTGACGGGTTCAATACTGGTTGACTCGTTCCTAGGGACTTTTCAGACATTTTATTTTCAAACCTCACCTGTTGCTTGTCAAGTTTTCTTATTGGCTGACCTTCAGGTGAGGACATTCTGTGGTTACCTGTACTTTCCAGATGGCTACCCTGTTACTTTTGCCCCTACCTGTTTCTGAGGACTGGAATGTCTTACAGGAAATAGCTTACACAAGACACAAGATGGAGGCAGAGGACAAAATGGGTGGGTCTTCTGTCTGGAGACACTCTCAAGACTTGGTTTATGTAAACATTCTTTACCTCAAGATTTGTAAGTTTATTGGATATGGTTAAAAATCTATAAAAATCTATGAGATAAGTTAATTTAAAACTAGGAACACTGGGAGTTGATAGCTAAAATCTATGCATGAGTAATTTGAAAGGCATCGTGTCATGGTGTTATTCCATCTTGGGGCATAAGCAACACATGGGTTGCCACCATCTTTAGGCAGTCACATGACTGGCAGCCATCTATGCTAGGATTGGAGGTAAATATCATGTGATTTTACACCACTGTCCTGATTAAAGTTGACCATGTAGGGTGGGCCTTCTAAGTAGGCAACAATGTATCTGCATGATTGTTATGATATGGTGAGAGGAACCTTGGCAGGCTGGATCCAGGAAGCCCCATGTCGGGTGAGAGACAGACACTCCATGTAGACCACACTCACGTGGAGAATTTTATTGGGGGGTAAGGGAGCATCGGGAGAGAGAAGGAATTAAGATTCACACCAGGCACCTCCTTGAAACAGGCATACTTACTCATTGCCAGTGAGCCTGGAATAACCCCTTGTTGCCTGTCCAAAAGCCTGGAACTTGAGACTATAGACCAGTACAAGACTTGAGGGAAGCGAACAAGAGGGTCGAATCCATTTATCCAACTGTTCCAAATCCCTACACCTTCCAAAGCTTATTACCACTAAAGCATAAACTTTACACTGTGCTGGACTTCAAAGATGCATTCTTCTCTATCTCTCCCTCTGTTAAAATTAAGTCAGGCCATCTTTGCATCTGACCCTAAACTGGGGATATCAGTACAACTAGCCTGGACCAAACTGTCTCAAGGGTTCGGAAGCTCTGCCACCATCTTCCGTGAAGCACTCAAGCAGGATTTAAATCTCTTCCACAGTGAGTACCCTGAGATAACCTTACTTCAATATGAAGATGATTTGTTATTGGCTGCTAAGGATGAGGAGGACTATCTGTGAGCCACCAAAGGCCTTGAGGAAACCCTAGCCCAGTCAAGCTATATAGTTTGTGAAATGAAAGTCCAAATTCACTCACCCTCAGTTACTGACTTGGGATACGAACTGAGAGAAGGGAAAAGACTGTTGTCCCAGGTCCACATAGCAGCCATATTGCAGGTCCCAAGCCCAACCTCCAAGAAACGAGTTGGGGAATTTCTCGGAACTGGTGGATGTTACCATCTTTGGACACCCGCGTTGGCTGAAATCCCAAACCCTGTACTCTGCTACAGCCAGGGTCAATGCCCCTTTGGAGTGGACTGAGGAACATGAACAGGCCTTTAAGAACTTAAAAGAGGCCCTGGTACAGCCCCTGTTTTAACTCTCCCTGATAGCTCCAAGCCCTTTCATCGGTATGTCCATGAAAGAAAGGGCATTGCCAAGGGGGTCCTGACTCAGGCCCTGGGTCCCTAGGAAAGGTTGATAGCTTAAGTCTCTTTGAAAAGAGACTGGATCCTGAGCATCTGGAAGGTCCCCTTATTTAAGAGCCAGCACAGTCACTGTGATTCTCATAAAAGAAGCTGAAAAGCTCACGTTCAAACAGATGCTAACTGTAACAGCTCCACAGGCCATGGAAGCCCTGCTGAAAGATGCCACCAACAGGTGGATGTCTAAAGCCTGTCTGGCCTAGAACCAAGCCCTTCTTTTAGATAAGGACAGACTGACTTTTGATAAATCCTTAGCCATTAATCCTGCCACCCCGGTGCTCGATGGCAACCCTTAGAAACTTAGCTGCCTGGTGATGCTGTATGTCATCTGGGGTAAGTGACCTGACCAGGCAGACATTCCTCTTACCAGAAATACAGATCTCCATAGTGATGGCAGCAGCTTCATTCAGGAGGGAACCAGGTCTGCAGAGCTGGCAGTGATCACAGGCCAGAAGGAGGTCATTTGGGCACAAGCCTTGCCCAGCGGTGCATCTGCCCAGAAAGCAGAAATAATTGCTCTGGCGCAGGCTTTAAGATGGACGGAAGGGGAAAAAATGAACATCTACACAGACAGCCATGTGCTTTTGCCACATGTTCATGAGCAGATATATGAACAGAGTGGCTTACTCACCTCAGAGGGAAAGACTATTAAAAATAAATATTAAGTTGTCCAGTTGCTAGAGGCCATCTGGCTACCAACTGAACTATCCATTATTCCCTGACCAGGACAGCAAAAAAAAAAAAAAAAAAAAAAAAGCCCCCAAACTCAGAGTAACAACCATGCAGCTCTAGCTGTCAAAGAAGCTGTTCTTGGGAGCCCAGACCCCAGATTGTCCTAGAACCACTGCTGAGCCTCCACTCTGTCTTGATGAAGATGCTCTTGAGTATGACCCAGAAGAGATGAAAGCCACACTCTGACTTGGGGGCTTGAGGAGTCCTAATGGATGCTGGGGAGCTTGCCTGATGGAAGAATCTGGCTACTAGCCTTGCGTCACCTAAGATCTAAGGACTCGTCTCCCCTCATGTCTACCTGGACACCGAGAAAAACTTCAGAGCATTTCAGACCACTGCCTGACCTGTGCCCAAGTAAATGCGAAGAAGGACATGCTTCCCCCAGGCTGACAAAGTCAAGGTATAGTACCCAGGGAAATGTGGGAAATGAACTTCACTGAGTCAAGCCAGGACTGCTGGAGTTTGTTGATACATCACGGGCTGGTTAGAGGCCTTTCTGTCCCAAATGTAAATGGCCAAGATGGTACCTATGAAATTAGTAGAAATTATTCCCGTATTTGGCCTCTCGTATCTCTGGGGTCCAACAATGGCTTGGCCTTCACTGCCAAGTTATCGCATGGCTCTCCAAGGCTCTTAAATATAAATTGGAAACTTCGTTGTATGTATCATCCTGGGAGAGGTAGAGAGGATGAAAAGAACATCACAGGAGATTTTAAACTAAATCTTCTCTTGAAACTGGTGGTAACATGGCTGACCTCTTGCCTTACGCCCTTCTCAGAGTCCGATGTACCCCAGACAGAGACAAGTTGACCACATATGAAATAGTCCCCCTGCTGTGACCCCTCGGGTATGTGCCTAGGTGCCGTACTGTTATCAGATTGCCCCACTCCAATCTCGGAGTCCTTAAAAGGATTGAGGATTGCAATCAGCTTTCGATAAGATTCTCAGGTCCAGGCGGCTCAGCATATTGGGCACCGCCCACCTGATCACACTTTCCAAACCGGAAATGCTGTTGTTTTTTTGTCCACTGCTTCAAAACTACCAGCTTGAATCTAAATGGAAAGGACCTTACTTTGTGCTTTCCAGATGCCTACTGCTATCAAAACTGCTGATATTTCTGCCTGAGTTTATCGCTCACACCTCAAGATTGTCACCTGAGAAACCCACGGAAGAAGAGCCCAACCTCCAGAGGTGGAAAGTGACTGAAAAAGGACCGTTAAAAACCAAACTTTCCAAGGTTTGACTGTCTAACTCAACTTTGTGCAAAATGTTAACGAGAAAACTCCTGTGTGAGAAGAGATCCCTCGATTCCTGGGCTTTAAAAAAGATATTTGTATGGAATAGGAGCTTCTTATGAAAAATACGCAAGGATAACAGGGGACAAAATAGCACATCCCCCACTAATGTTCTAAAAGCTGTGGCTGGTGTTCCCATTGATAATGTCTTTTTCCTCCAGTATCTGTTTGACTGGCCCTTTGGGCTAAGATGGCCCTCTGCCTTCATTGGCCCTCTGATACTATATCCACTTGTTATCCCAATGGGGCCCTGTGCCCTCCAACGTCTCACTAACCTGATCACCTGTCAGATAAAACAGTTCTAGAATCATTGCTGCTCGAAGTCATTCTTATTCTCGCCATTGGGATTAAGAGTGTATACAAGCACCATAAACCTGAGGAGATCATTCCGTTTTCGTTAACAAAATTTCCTTGGCTCCTGCTTTAAAATGTGGTTGGAAAATTAGTGCATCAAGGTTCCGTGTTCCATAGAACCCTTCCGCAACTTGGAGCCCCTTCGGAAAATAATGATTCATTGTGTTCATCGAATTATAAATGAGAGAGTAAAGATTAGCATGGACTTCACAAATTTGCCTGGCTAGTCGTCATCCTGAAGCAAAAGTCAGATAAAATCAGTCTGAGAACTTCTAGGAAGTAGTATCTCCCTCCAACCCTAGTCATAATGGCATCCTGCTCTTTCAGTCATTGCGAAACTTTGTCTCCTAAACTTCACAGACTTGGGTTTTTCTTTTGGAAACTCTATCAGCAAGGATGAAACATCTCCAACCTTTGACAGGCGCCTCTCCGAGAATGAGCCTCACACCACAACGCTGCTTGGAGTGAGGTTTGTATTGCCAACCCCAAGCTTCTTCCGGGAGGACAAAGCATTTGCCTTGGCTTCCGGCGCACGCGCGGTGGCGCCGAGGTGCTCCGGCCAGGCCGGGCCAGAAGAGGCGTCACGCGCTCTGAGGTCACGCGCCCGCCCGGGGCAGCGCGCGCGCCCGTCTGTTCTGTCGCGGTGGCGCGCACGCTAGACCGACGCGGGCCCGGGAACCACGGGGGATCTCGGGGGGCCGTGCATGGCGCGCGCAGGGCGACGCGGAGCGGACTGGCGCTGGGCGCTGGCGCTGCTCGGGCTGGCGGCGACTCTGGGCGCGTCCCCGACTTCGGGGCACCGCTGGCCGGTGCCCTACAAGTGAGTGAGGCGGAAGGGGACTTGGCCGGGACTTGGAGGGTGCAGAGCGACCCCGGGACGTGCTTGGGCGACATCGGGGACGCAATTCCTAGCTAGTTGGAAGCCGAGGGGTCCTCACCGATTCTGGGCAGTCCCGAGTTCTGGGAAGAATGGACAATGACATTACTACGCTGAGAGACTTTTCGGTACAACCGACTGACTCGGAGAGCAGGTTAAAACACGGTTGGCAAACTAAATTTATTTCCTGCTTTATTACCAGCCGTTTTTGCATAACATTTGCAGAATTTACAGGGAGGTCGCTTGTTCAGGTGTGCCCCGGGTTTCCCAATCTTACTGCTCTAAATTCCAGACTTGGGGAAACTTCCTCCCTGGGACAAACAGGATCACCTCGTCGGTCCACTTCTACCTGGAGGTGCAGACTCTGGACCTGAGAAGCTGATTGGAGTGTTTGACCTAGCTGAGTTTCGACAGCCCGTGGGAGGGGACTTGGTAGGGGAGAGAGAGTATGGACATCAAGAAGTGGAAGGAAGGAACCGCAGCTTCTGAAAACAAATGTTTTGCCTAAAAATGAGCACAGTGAAGGAAGTTCCTGGTTCTGCGTCCGTCCGCAGATCGGATCTGATGGACCAGCTCCTCCTCTCCTCGGTGTGGTCTTAGGAAAATTACTCCGTATCTTCATGCTCACGTGCCCTGAACCGAAAAGAGGAAATGATAGCAGCGCTATCATTGGCAGGATCATCTCCAGTGAAAACCAACTGTTGCCAGACTTAAATATCTGTGTGTTCTGCTCATGAACTGGTTTTACTTGATGTATGTAAAGAAAAAGTTTAGGTCTGAAATTGGTTTTTATGAAAACATTCACAAGAAATAAAAACTAAATATCCAAGAAAACAAGGAAGAGGCTGTAAATCTGAAAGTATTTTATTTCACACCAGGAGGAGGCTGACTGATTTTTGCTTCCAAGCCCCAGCACTGAGCTTGGTGTGGAAGGGAACTGGGTTGTAATTTTTATTCCCCTTCTTCTCCGTGTAGTCCTGTAAATGGCAGTTCCTCGGGAAATGTTAGTTGAATGATTAGTTTTAAATGCCAAATCTGCTTTATGATTTGATATTTAACACATCATTGGGAGTGTGTATATGAAAACAAGTAAAATGCACATTTATATTTAGTTTATATGACCTAAGCTTTAAATATTTTCCCTAAAAAATATTGAAGACAAGAGGAGATGGCTCAGTGCCCACAGCATAATCCCCAGGCCATGAGCTTGGATTCTCTGAACTCAAACCAGCATGAACTGAAACCAGCATGGCAGTGCATACCTGTAACCCTAACCTGTGGAGGGAGAGGCAGAGGCAGGCAGATTCTTGAAGCTCATTGGCTACCCAGTCTAGTGTAATCAAGGTGTAACGTCAAGGAAAGACACCTGGACACGTGCACATACTACATGTAACACGCCCGCAACACACACACACACACACACACACACACACACACACACACACACACACAGAGCGCTGAAGCAAGCCTGAAAGGAAACTTGGGATTCTGATGTGTTTAAGATCTAATGTGAAGGTTCTCTTCCTCACTAGACGTTTCGCTTTCCGTCCGAAGCCAGACCCCTACTGTCAAGCTAAGTACACCTTCTGTCCTACCGGCTCAGCCATCCCACTTATGAAGGACAATGACATCATTGAAGTCTTAAGACTACAAACCCCTGTTTGGGAATTTAAATATGGAGACCTCCTGGGACACTTTGTAAGAATGCATCTTGATCTTGTAACTTTGCTTAAGTAATTTAGTTATTATTTAACTTAAATGATTAATCATATTTATTGATATACTTTGTATCTATAGTTTGTGTGTGTGTGTGTGTGTGTACTATTCACAAGCATGAAGTGGCTGAAGGAGCATGTTGGATGTCACTCGTCATATTACTTCCTTGAGACAGGGTCTCTCACTGAACCTGTAGCTTGAATTTTCGTCTAAACTGCCTGGCCATTGAGCCTGTCTCCTCCCCTCAAGGAAACAGACACAAGTGGAGATTCCTGGGTGCTAGGGATTTGAACTTGGGTCTAGCAAGCACTTACCTATTCAGCCATCTCTCCCTCCCATGACAGACTTCTTAGCACCTTTCAGTCGGTAGTCAGAGTCACCATTGCATCTGCATGGTGCTGCACACCTGTAATCCCAGCACGTGGAAGGTCCAAGCAAGAGAACCACTATTTCAGAGTCAGTCGGGGCTACACAATAAGACTGTCTCAAAAACAAAGCAGAAGTTCCAGCGAGTAACCGGTGTCTTGGCCTTAACATGTTTTGTTATGAAGGATCTTGTAATGGACCCCAGGCCTTAGCACAACTCCATGTTAGAGGCACCAAGACACCATTCTGACCTAAGAGCCTAGCGTGTAGACCCCAACACCTGCCCAAAAGAGAACAAAGACCCAGTCTATCATAGTCCATAGTTCTGGGTCAGTCCCTAAATGTACAGACCTTGCTTTTTGACTTACATAGCTCCGTTTATTGCTCACTGTTCTTGCTAAGTCTGTTAACCAGGATATGTTTTTGTTCATAAAAAGCCAAGATTGGTCAGGCTCATGACTACACAACTTGGGCAAGTTCCCTATGTAGCCTTTGGGTCTGCGAACAATGACTTTGTTTCTATTGGCTTTAAGAATACATGTGTTCTCAGGAGGAGTCGCATGGCAACAAAGTAAGCTTCCCTACTCCCCAGCTCCTGGGAATGAGAGAAGGGCAAGGCAGCAGGAATCAGGTCTCTAAGCTCTGCTGTGAGCCCTGTCCCAGCTGACAATCACCCTGGGAGGTAGGCGCACACTTTCCGGGAATATTCATGATGGCGTTTCTTGCTTACTGTAAGCTGTGGAGAACATCCCCAGGTCTTCAGATAGCTCACACCCTTACTAAAACGAGCCCTAGTTGCCGAAACCAGTGGTTTGAGGGGCTGCGGTGTCGCCGCAAGGATGGTGACAGAAGTTGTTCTCCCTGGTGTGCATTTTCTGTGTGTCAGCCTCTCCTAGTAGGCGTCCTGAGCCCGTGGTTACTCCAAAGACGCGTTTACACCTGCGTTATCTCCACACAGAAAATTATGCACGATGCTATTGGATTCAGGAACGCAATGACGGGCAAGAACTACACCATGGAGTGGTATGAGCTTTTTCAGCTTGGCAACTGTACGTTTCCTCACCTTCGGCCTGGAATGGATGCTCCGTTCTGGTGTAACCAAGGAGCAGCCTGCTTTTTTGAAGGAATTGATGACAGACACTGGAAGGAGAACGGGACATTAGCTCTAGTCGCGACCATATCCGGTAAGTTCCAGAAATGGAGTACAGGTGGACGATCGCATTGGGTATGCAAGCGGGAGATTTCGTACACTGAGATTTCACGCTCGGCCTCATGGTGGTCATTTGTAGTCTGTGCTTCTGGTGCCACCCACCGTGAAGCACATGGGTCCGGATGCAGAGCTTCGCTAGAAGATGCATGGCTCGTCTGCTCTGTCCATGAGAGACATAAGGAAACAAATGATCCGTATAGCTAAATTGAAGTCCACAGAAACAACAGTCAGGGAATCCATAAAATGCCCCATTAGGAAGTCCTCTTAACTGTAAAAAAACTGAAAAAAAATAAAGGCTATAAATTATTTGTACATGGGGAAACATTAAGGGCTTGCTTCCTCTGGGTCTGGCCTTGTTCTGAATGCTATACTTAGAGCATGTCACTTAACAGCGTCACAGATTCCTGAGAGAATCATTACTGTTTCCTCCCTTGTGCAGATGGGGAACCTGAGGTAAGATTAAAGTTACCCAGGTGTAGCGGGACTCTAGCTCTGACAGGAACAGGAAAGCCCTCCAGGTCATTCTCTTAAGCATTTTGGTACACTGCCTCCCTGATATATATGTTTGTGATACGCCTCCTGTCCTCTTGAGTGATGTCTGAGTGCTCATCTGGAAAGCTGATGACACCATTGTAGTTTTGTGTTCGCTGTTGCGTTCTGCACCGTTGGTTCCTTTAACGCAGGAACTTTTTTTGTCAGGAGCTACGCCTGTGACCTTGCCTCACATTGACCTTACTGGCCCATTGCCTCCTGTGGAGAATTCAGGGTCTGCTTGCCCCACTTGTAAGCTTACTATGTGCACGGTGTTGCCCACAAAATCAGGGTGCTGAAATGAGAGCATTATTTGGGATGCTAATTATCCCACAAGCCCCAGGACTTGAGGAACCAATCAGTGTCTGTTTGTTAGTTTCTACACAACAATTTAAGGTGCGCTAACACATAATTCAGTGGCAGAGGGTAAGACCTCACCCTTGGGTTTTACAGGTAAGGAAGTGTTAACAGGTGAGTTCAGTCAGTGACTTGACTGACACTTTCAGTCACAGAGCTGGATGGAACAGGCCACGCCTACAGTTGAGGTCTTTTAAGTGTAACCCACAGTCTTCTAACACAATCACTGCTTTTCTAGTCTTTCCTTCTACTTTCTAATTCACCTGACGAAGGCCCATCTCTTGCAGCAGTAGATGAGTGGTTTCTGTCTTACATCCCAAGCTAATTCACACCTTCCTTCCTCCTCACATAACCTGAGAATCATAAGTAGTGATTGCTCTTCTGTAAAATGCTTCCATCTGCTAGAATTTGAAGCTTGTAAATTCAGTTTTGCCTATGAGTAATCCTGTCTCATGACTTTCTCTGGATGTTATGACATAGTGTTTGCAAAGCCTGCTTTACCACGTTCCTAAGGACCATGCTTCCAACTCTAAAGCAGACATTAAGCCTAGGCAGGAGCTGCACCTCAGCCGCCAGGCCTACTAAGCGTCCCACACTTCTGCCAGTTTATGTTTGCCCTTCTCTCTTGTTGTTACAGTGTCTTTGTCTTTTGCCTTTCCTGCTTCAGTTCTTGCTTCCCTTTTCTCGTTTGCTTCTGAACCCAAGACTTGCCAAAAAGAGAAAGATAGCTACTGCCAGTGTGTATTCATACTCTTGACAATCGCTTTCACCATAGCTTTAATAACTGCAGAATTTTAAGAGTTCCCTTTATATCTTATCCCCATTGTATCTTGTATTTGCAACTCAAAGGCCTTGAAGGCTAGAAGAGGTGTAGTTACGCCTGCATTCCTGCTGTGGGATACAGGTTTTGAAGTCTAAGTATTTCTTATTCATTTATCCTGGTCTTTATCGGGTCTCAGCACATTTTGTAAGCAGTTTATTTTGTTTCCTTTTCCACCAGGAAACACATTTAACAAGCTGGCGGAGTGGGTGAAGCAGGACAATGACACGGGGATCTATTATGAAACATGGACGGTCCGGGCCAGCCCCGGAAAAGGGGCTGAGACATGGTTTGAATCGTATGACTGTTCAAAATTTGTGTTAAGGACATACGAGAAACTGGCTGAATTCGGAGCAGAATTCAAGAAGATAGAAACAAACTATACAAGAATATTTCTTTACAGCGGAGAACCTGCTTACCTGGGAAACGAAACTTCTATTTTTGGGCCAAAAGGAAACAAGACTCTTGCTTCTGTCATAAAAAAATTTTATAACCTCTTCAAACCACACTTGTCAACAAGAGAATTTCTGTTGAATCTCTTGAAAATTTTTGATACAGTGATTATGCACAGAGAGTTCTATCTGTTTTATAACTTTGAATATTGGTTCTTACCAATGAAATTCCCCTTCATCAAAATAACATACGAGGAAATCCCTCTGCCTAGCAGACGCCCACTTCCTGACCTGTGAGGCTTGCAGTCCGTGGCTCTCTCCAGCCACCTACACCCATTTCAGGGGTGTCTTTACTTTTGTGTCTTCATTGTCTTCTCCTCAGGGCAGGAAGGTGAAGTGCTCACAGTTGGAGGTGCAGTGTACTGACAGTTCAAGACTCTTGGAAAGAAGTGGAAGCCATAATTGTACAGGCCAAAGTGAATGTGTTAAGATCTCGATATTATTGGGAATTGGTTGATACCAGCTGTGGAGTTCACTGATCCAATGCTGACATTTTTCTGTTACAGCAGTGTTGTTTCTTAGTCCAAGGGCTTTCTGATCATCTAAAGAATAGCTATTGTTACAGCTATTGCAACTCTGGGGTCCAGGTCTGTCTGCTTTCTAGTCACATAACCTCGAAGACCGGTTTGGACCCATTGCTGGAGCAGTGCCTCTGGACACAGGAAATACAGTGTGTTGAAGAGCAGATTTTCTGGCCAGCATTTGAGAATGGCTAGCAACTAACTGGCTGTTGTGACAGAAGCAACTTAACATCTCCAGATTTGTGTCCTTGCCTCAAATGATTTAGCAGCTGGGAATAGGAAGATTGCAGACACCCATGTTGGCATAGGAAGGGCACACTGAATGCATACATGGTCTCAGAGGACTGTTGGGATTGAAAGAACACAAGCTGTCAGTTCCTGGGACTCTGAGCTGACAGACAATAGTGTCTGCTTCAGCAGTTTTCCAGTACAGGCCATGGAAGTATCTGGCTGCAGACGTGGCTGGGCAAAATGTACTTCTGACTTCTTGTGTGAGCCCTCTGGTTCTTCACCCATTAGCAAGGCTAGCACAGTGAAGAGGGTACGCTTTCTTGGAAAGGATGGGATTTTGTCGAGGACCTTTAATTCATTATGCTTGTACTACGGGCATTAGACAAGCTCTCAAGGTCCCGTGTTTATCAGTTGAACCCACCTTTTTTCTTTTGTTCTTCTCTCCTACTCATAAAACCACACTAGCACAATAATGGAAAGAGTCTGTATTATGCAAATGTGCCAGTTATTCAATTCACCTACTGTCTGAGTGCTTCTTGAGAGCTCAGTACACTATCGTGAGCTGTCACAGAAAGCCTCATCATACAGATCTGGCCCAGATGCGTTAAGTCAGGGCTTAGCGAGGTCAAGTGAACCTGGAACTGTGTTTTCTCTCGGGTTAAATGAATGGATGCACGGACACTTTTCAGCAGTGTATCTGTGCACTAGGGTTACCAGGCTGTCCTTCCTGTTCAGTCTAATAAAAACAAAAGACAAAAACCAAGGCTTGGACTTTGTATCTTTGACCCTGTTTGTCTAGGAATTTGCTCTTTATTGTTTACAAGTATAACCCTCAGAAAGCCAAGGTGATTCCAGATAACTGGAATCACGATTGGATGTCTATCACAAAGAGGGAACCGTTTCCCACTGCCACCAGTTATCTTCTCCTCGTTACCATGCCTAAACCAAACCAAAATGTGGCCTCTTGACCTGATCATCTTCAGAATGTGGTGTAAGAGAGAACCTATTCACATTACCACTATCTAGTGGCCAGACTCAGGCAACACTAACTTACACCACATTAAGTTATCTGGAAAAGTTGGGATTTCCCAGCAGTTCAGAGGTGATAAGCAAAGGGTTTTGTACCAAGCACGTCCTTTTAAATCAGACTTTGGTTTGTAGCACAGCGGGCAGGGAACATACACATCGAACGTGACTTCTCAAATGAGGTTCTACTGTGTTAAAAAGCATGCCGGGTCTTTGACTGTGGAGCTTGTAAATGAAGAAAGCCTGTGAAAGGCGTAATTCCCGTGGTCTCCCAAGAGCTTGTCAAGCTGTGAAACGTATTTGTAAGGTGGAGGACAACTTCGAGGCAGAGATGATTCAGAAAATTCTTGGAAATAGTAGTTGAGAAACCAAAATATGGAGACAATGGGGTGTCTCTGATTCTGAAGGCGGCTTTCTGTACTGCTTTAGGGTGAGCTTCAAAACTGCAGGTGTCTGAAGCTGGTGGCCACAGGAAACGTCTGAGCCAGTGGCCTCTGAGTTCTTGGGTGCAAATCCAAAGAATGCAGTTCATAGGCAACAAGAGGATGGGTTCAGAAAACAGTTTTGTTACTGATTCACAGGTGGGAGCTTAAAGAGAGGCAGAGCCGTGTAGCCACGCACTCTGGGAAATGGGAGAGCTGGAGCTGCTGCTCATCTAGGAGCTTTTTATTGAATTCGCAGCAGAAATGAGCACGAGGAGGGGATGGACTAGACAGATGGCCCCATCATCAGAAGGTCCAGGCTGCTGGGCATAGACTCCAGACAGGCACGCCCACCAGGGAGAGAGACAGCCTCCCTTCTGGTGTCTGGCTTTGGCAAGGACACAGCTGTGCAGAGGGCCAAGGACAGTTTCAGATTTTAAGCCAAGGAAAATATTTCCTTCGGGGGGGGGGGGGGTCTCCTACCCTAAACTGCCTGGCCAGTTTCACTCTCCTGCTCTCATCAAAGAAACAGGTCTACGAATTAAATTCTGTGGCCATTTGGTGTATGATGTGCTTCTATTTCTGTCAGTTCCAGTTACAAATGTGTAGTATTTCTTTTTAGAAAATCTTTGTGTTAAAGCTGAATATTAGGGATTCAGAGTAAATTTATCTAGCCCATTATAAGGTAAATATCTATTACTGCAGATAGAAGAAAACAGCTAAAAGGTGCAATAACTATCAGCACTCAGAAGTACTCAATAACGGTTCCTTAGAAGAATCGGAAGGAAAAAAAATGACAAGTCTCTAATACCTGGGTCAAAGTGCTGAGACTTCAGTGTAGTGCTCAGCCCTCAGCAGGACATCTGTCGTTCCTTCCAAGGGTAAGCCAGCGTCATGGACGAGGTGGCAGAAACAACTCACTAGCTAGAGGATGGCAAGGGCTATGAAATGCTGCCACCTGGGGAGACCATGGCTCCTGCATCCAGGAACTCACAGCACCTGTGTTTATCTGCTGATGGGGCGGTAAACACTCCACCAGAATGGGGAATGCGGCTCAGGAGGCCACAGCCCTCTCTAATAAACTGTTTGCTGGGGAAGAGGAGTCATTTTTTTCCAGCGGTATTGCCACTAATCAGCTGCCCATGCTTCAGCAGTCTCCCACCCTGCTCAGGCAAGCTTCTCCAGTTAAACTCAGTGAGTCCCAAGAAAAAAGAAAAAGGCATTAAAGTAGAAGAAAAACTTGCTGGGGGAAAAGGGGGTTCAGCAAGAGTGGAAGACAGAGTAACGGAGAGTGGAAATGCAGATACATTATATACGTACATTCTTTAAGAATAAAGATACACCGAGTTTCTGTAAGGTGAACCTAGGCTCTCTCACACACGAGGGAAGTGTTCTACCACTGGGCTCATCTCCACAGCCTCCTTTATCTGTGAGATGAGGTTGCCAGGCTGGCCTTTCACTGGCAGCCTGAGTGGGCCTTGAACTGCAATCCTCCTGGCGTAGCCTTCTAAATAACTTAAAGGTCTGTTGCACTGCACCCAGCCAGCTTTTTAAACAAACACACCAGGTAGCTTCATGCTCTTCCAAGTGCCTTCAAGAGTTTCTTCCTTTTTGAAACAATTTAAGTATTTACACTGTGTGTGTGCGCGCGGGGGAGGGGGGGCAATTATTAATTCCAAGAGTCAGCTTTTGGCCTCTGAAAATGCTTTCTCTTCTTAAAGGAGTTTTGGCCAGCAGACTGGTGGACTTTTCTTACTTCTTGTTAATATTAAAACTGGCCTCAAATATAAACAAGTTTTGCACAAATAGGTTTATTAACTTACTGTTATCAAGGCCTATTTTTAAATACTTGAGTAGCCTACATTACCACACCAAATTGGACCTGTTTTCTGAAACCTATTTAAGATAGTAGATTAAAATAATATTTATGGCTAAAAAGCTATTCTTACTTATATAGATTTCCAATATGGCTGGCTAGCTTAAAGTAAACTCTTTTAAAAAACTTTTAAAAGTATTCATCCTTATGTTTTAATGAATGTGGGTGTCTGGGAGTGTGGACAGGAAGTGAGTGCAGGTGCCCATGGAGGTCAGAGGAACTGGAGTTGGACAGCTATGGCAAGATGTGGGTGCTGAGAACTGCCAAGAGGATTCACCACCTTTCAGCAATCTCTTGAACTCACAATTCTAAGTACAGCTTCATTCTGAATAGATGAAGAACCTAGTCCTTATGTTTGATCACTTTCATGGTAAACGTCATAGTTATTAGAGCATAAGAACAAATTCAGTGTGCCTTAATTTTGTATCTTCAAACAAGCCAGTCTACTACTGCGTTTAAACACTTATCAAATAATACATATGAAGCTAAAATTCATAACTTTATAATGTGTATTTGATTAGTTCCTTAAGGTTATAAAAATACAACAGCATTAGTAACTATCTTTATTCTCAAATTGATAAAACCATTTAACATATATTTTACAGTATAAACAAATTAAGTGCTATGCATTTTGCTTATAAAGTGACTTAAAGTATTCAAGCATGTAATTGAATTTTACAAAAAGTAAGTTTTCAAATAAAGCTTTGGTTAGTAAAACTGATTATATACCGTCAAATCCATTTTCCAAAGTTGCTCAAAAAAATTTAAAAAAACCAAAACACCTAACACAGGTATTTCCTGTACATATAGTCAAAGTTTTTTACTATTTAGGAAGAGGGAGATATTCTAATAGCTGCTTTTACTGCTGAGCTCTGGTCAGTCTTTCTTTTCATCCATATGTAGCTGAAAAATATCATTTTTGGAAAGCATAAATTGTGTAGAAAACCACATTTTGTTTTATTCTCAAGAAGTTCACCTGTTTTTAAGACTGTTAGCTTCTGTAACTATCAGGGTTCTCTCAAAGGTTGCACTACTAAAGAGAGCCATGTCAGGCATTGAAGTATTCTGCTGGAGTAAATCACTTCTAGTTTCTCTCAGGAGAGACATCTCCTGCACGAGTGCCTAGAATCCAAGCTCATAAAGTACCTGAAAAAAAAAACTATATATGACCAAAACTTACTATTTTTTACACTCTGATAGAATTTATCTTTATTCATATGAAAGTAGTATGAAAAGCTACATAACTTAAATATAAAATACCAGTTTCAACCAGATTAACAATCACAAAACTGCAGATATTTTTAAAATGTTCCAGTTTACTGAGTAATATTTACTCAAAAATTATTCTGAACTTATATATATATATTTATATATCTTTTAAATTTAGTGTCTGAACTGTACAGATACTCCTTTTGATTTTGAAAGTTATATTTATTTTAGCTATGTAATTCCAAAATTAAAGCATAAGCCATCACTAAAATTCACTGGAGATTAATATTCTTTTATGAAAACTATTCATAAACAATTCATAAAGTTCTACCTTTAATTATTTCAATTTGGTTTTTAAGTGGGATTTTTGTTTAAATTGTGTAATAGTTAAAACTAGTTTAAACAAAGATTAAAAAAAGATTAAAGCATTCCTTTACATACAATGCCTCAGGCACCACAACATTAATAATATAACAGAAAAGAGCTCACATGGTTTAGCATATTACACAGAAAACCTAAGGTTCATACAAAACTACTACTACCTCTCTATTCCACTGGTTCCTTTAGAGTAATCCTGGCTGTGTGCCATCCTCAACGACCACTGCCACATTCAGAGTTCTAAATACTCTGATATTTATATCTTAATTTTTAAAACAGCTTCATAATATCTGAAACCGTTTAACCAACCTCCTATGAGCTATACCATACATTTCTCTCACAAAATGCTCACTTTCCTGAGCTATATTAAACACCTTATAACAGGTGTATTTATAACTGAAGACCTAAAACGTCAAGTTTACATTTTTTTAAAAAAATGCATAGAGAACATCTCAGAAAACCTATTAGTATACTTCTTAGATATTAGAATATACATGTTGTTTCCTTCAGACTATGAATGATCTCACTTTCATATAACTTGATATTACTTTCAAATATGAAACCACACTTTAATTTTTAAACATTTGATTGTGATTAAGTTACAAAAAAGAAGTTACCTGACCCAAACTATAGGTCTTCCAACAAATATCATTCATTTTAAGCTCACCAAAGATATCAAATTTCTGTGCCACAAGATAGTAGAATTATATCAGAACTAGAGCAAATAAACTTTTATTATTATAATACATTTTCTTAAAATTAAGGTGCTATTTATTCATCATGCCCTATATCATGCAATCCTTACCAAGTAGGCATCATGTCTGGAAACCATACCCTGCCCAGATGCTTAGA